ACGATTACGTATGCTGATGATGATGCTGCTGCTGATGATGATACTGATGATGCTGATGATGGTGATGAAATGATGCTGATGCTGACGACGGTGATGGTGGTGATGCTGATGATGATGAGTATGAGCATGATGATGCTGCTGCTGATGATGATGCTGATGGTGTACGTACTCATGATGATGACGACGATGATGATGATGCTGATGATGGTGCTGATGAAGACCAGGATGATTTTGAAAATAATGTTGCGAATGATGATGCTGCTGCTGATGGTGATGATGATGAGACGACGATGATGCTGCTGATGATGACGATGATGGTGACGACGGTGATGGTGATGGTGGTGATGATAATGGTGATGGTGATTACGGTGATGATGCTGATGAGGATGAGGAGGATTATGATGAGGATGATGATGGTGGTGATGATGATGCTGATGTTGTTGATGATGTTGGTGATGGGGAGGGCGAGGATGATTGTTGAGCACACCGGCCATGCTGCATGACAAAAACGTGGCCATGCTCACGAACACGATCATGAGGAGGACCAGGAAGGAGGGGCTGCGACGCGGGGGACGAAGAAAGGGAGGGGCGCGACGACCACGACGCCGGCGAGGCAACGGCGGCGCCGACGACCTGGTGCGGGACCAGACGCACGCGACAGCCAAAGAGCAGGCCGCGACCTGGAGCGCTGGCCTGGGGGCACGACCCGGTGGAGGGGGCGAAAGCCGAGGCGGGAGCGCCATCCGGAGACAGCGGGAGCTGCTCCGAGTGGAGCGAACATGAGAAGAGAACAGTCAGAGAGAGCCAGCTCCTCCTCCTCCTCCTCCTCCTCCTCTTCTTCTTCCTCCCTCCTCCCTGCGCTTCACCCACCCAGTACAGCGTTTCGTGGCCCCACAGGGCGTGTGCTGGCGCCGACGAAGAGCAAGCGGCTGGGCCCAATGCGCACACGAGGCAACAGCTGCCGTGCAGTCCGCCGCCGTGCCTCTGGGCGCGGAGCGGGCGTGTCCTCCAGTCCCTCTACGCCTCAGTCCTCGCTCCTGAGGAGCCTCTGAGGGCACGGGACCCAACTTGCCGAGTCTTCCAGGGCTTGGTGCGGTTCCCCGGGGGCTTACCGCGGCTTACCCCTCTGACTTTTTCGTTCGGGCCCAGGAAGACCCCAAGTGTCAATAATACCCCTTGTAATCTGTATTCTTGTGTATTAACACACCTCAGCAGTTTCAGCAAGCATGATATGTTGCAAACAGTTGTTACACACATGTCGGTACAATTGCCACTTGATGTTCAGGGGCCCTGAGTCAAGTAAAAGGTTGCGTATCTCACGACCTTGTACGAGTGTCAAGATCATCTGCTCTATCGAACACATCCCGTATGGGTAGCGGAGCCGGAGATCTACTTTCTCTGGTTCCCCCCTTGCCGCCATGCCAGACGGCGCGCCTCGCGCGCCGCCCCTGGCCAAGCCGCCGCCAGCCGGCCCGCCGGCAGCCTCTGCCGCCGCCGTTCCCGCTGAGACCGGCGGATGGCAGCCGCATCCCGCCGAGCAGCGTGGATGTAGACGAGGCCAACTACACATGTTGGAATGGCTGGCAAGGCTGGTGGACCCGACAGGAGAGCTCCACCTGGGACGGGGGAGGACGAGGCTTGGACGCTGGCTTGTCCAAGACGGCGCCGAGCTACGAGCTGCTGAGGACCGACGGCTATCGAGTCTTTCGACGCAAGCTGGAGGTCTTCGAGCGGTGCTGCAGGAAGCGCGGCACCACCGCGGTCAGCGAGGGAGCATTCTTAGTCATGAACTCGCTGCAAGGTGAGGCCGCGGAGGCTACGGAGGACATCCACCTGGACTTGCTAGAGACGGAAGAGGCTTTCAGGCCATTGTTCCAGGTGCTGGGCAAGTACTACAAGTACGACAACCAGACCGAGCTACCAGCCCGTACAGATCTCTTCTTCGGCAAGTTCGCTCGCCAAGACATGGGAACGATAAAGCGGTACTGCCTTCGCCACACGAGAGAGCTGAGGAACTTCAAGGAGGTCGGGATGGAGATCCCCGACATGCTGGCGGGCTGGCACCTCCTCACTCGAGCGGCTGTCCCTCCATCGGGCGCCGCCCAGGTTCGCAGTCAGTGCGTGGACGGTCTCTGCTGGACGAAGGTGAAGAAGGCCCTGCTCGACGCGTGTGGAGCCGAAGCTATGCCCGACAAGCCCGACGTGAAACGCATTGAGAAGATCCTGGTCGGACAGAGCTTGAAGGACGACGTGAACTACCCGAACGACTACGAGTGGGAGCGAGGCCTGTGTTACAGTCGGGGCGTTGACCTAAGGAACCCTGAATAAGGAACGAGGCCCCTATTCTCCATAGGTGAAACTTCGATTTCGCATCGAAATCCTAAGGATAATCTAAGGCAAGCTGCGAAACAATTAAGGAACGCGGAGCCCCTCCCCAACGAAAAGGGTTCCTTCTTCAGGGCCCCGACTGTACGAAGACTCTTACCTGGGAGAGCAAGTGCACGAGGACGACGAGGAGCACGACCACGACGACCACGAGGGGGAGGCCGACGCCCCGGAGGAGCACTGCCGCAGGAGGTCGACGAGGCCCAGGCGGCGTGCGACGAGGCCTACCTCGGCTTCGTGGGCGCGAAGTTGGGCGCCCGAGTTATCCGGGGTAACTCGGGTCCGGGGTAGGTCGGGTTTGGATCCCCGAAAAAGGAACCCGAGTTAGCCCTGACCCGAGTTACCCCTGATGATTCGGGGCTCTGGACGCCCGAGTTATCCGGGGTAACTCGGGCCCGGGGTAACTCGGGTTTGGATTCCCGAAAAAGGAACCCGAGTTAGCCCTGACCCGAGTTACCCCTGATGATTCGGGGCTCTGAGGAAGAGACGTGAGGCGGAGATCGCGAAGGCCAGAGGATTCTACCCGATCATCGCCCTCGCCCCCGAGAACAACTACCAGCGCGACGGCCGCGCAGGACCCACGCGAGCGACGAGAGCAGGCACTGGCAAAGGCAGAGGACGCGGCAAAGGTAAAAGACGCGGCAAAAAATGTGGCCCACCACGACGTGAAGCTTTCCGGCCTCAGAAAGGAGCGTTTGGCAAGGACGCGCCACCGTCGCCAGCGGGCTCGACTGCATCAGATTCTACCCAGCAGCTTGGCCCGACGTTCAAGCGCTTCAGGAACGGTGGCTTCACTGGGCCCGAGGACGAGGCACGCATGGTGGAGGATGTTGAGACGCTGGAGTACGCCAACTCGGCCGAGGAAATCCTGCTGACCGTGGGCAAGGGCCTCGCTGATGGAGGTGCCGCGCGGCACGTCATGGGAGACAAGGCGCGGGCGCAGTGGGAGGAGGCACTTCGTTCGAAGCGGCCGTTGCATGAGGTCGAGCATGGCAGGAGTGACAGGCGCTTTCGATTCGGAGACGGCAAGACGCTGGAGGCTGAACGAGCCGTGACACCGACGGTCTGGCCGTTCGGCGCGCGTCTCTGCTGATCGCGCGACCCTGCGTGGAGAAGCGGGGCTTGATCCGGGGCTATCGGGCTCGAGCGTTCATGATAAATGATCTCCCCGACAAGGGTTGGATGAAGTCCGAGCGCGGCGAGAAGGGCCATTTCACCATACAGTCGAGGCGTTGACCTAAGGAACCCTAAATAAGGAACGAGGCCCCTTTTTTCCATAAATTAAACTTCGATTTCCGATCGAAAACATAAGGAAAACCTGAGGCAAGCTGCGAAACACTTAAGGAACGCGGAGCCCCTCCCCAACCAAAAGGGTTCCTTCTTCAGGGCCCCTACTGTAGACCTATCGGGCGGAGCCGGCCGCGACGCCGACGATGCCATGAACGAGGGGGCCCCCGCCGACGGAGATGACAGCGGCAGCGACGCAACGGACGAAGACACAGAAGGAGGAGGAGGAGGAGGAGGAGGAGGAGGACGGAATTCTACGACATCGGCAGCGAGGAGGCCCTGGCCATGGAGGAGGTCGTGGGCCCGGGGCGCCACCTGATGGATACTGACACCCACTCGGACCCGGCCCTGGCGCGTCCGACGTGAAGGACACGCTGCGCGAGCCGCGCAATCGGATGGTCTGGGAGGTCTTCGTGGATCACGGGGCCCTGTCGCAGGAGCTGCTCGAGTTCCCGCAAATCGAGGTGCTCCAGTTCAAGATCGAGGACGGCTGGGGCTTCTCAATGCCTGCCGTGATCCACGACTTCCTGAACAAGACCGACAACGCCATGCCCGACGATATCTTCTTCGCTCCCCCGTGCAAGTACTGGTGCTCCTGGCAGCGCGTGAGCGAGAATATCTCCGAGGAGCGAGCCAAGGAGATTAACGATGCCAGCAGGCGAGAAGAGCGAAGGCTTCTCAAGATGATTATGACGGTGTTAGTGAAGCAGCAGAGCGGGAACCGACGCGCGTATGTGGAAGGCCCGTGGCAAGGGCCACACTGGCGGACGAAGATGTGGAATAACTTGCCCGGATAGCACTGCAGACTCGACCAGTGCAGGTTGGGAGCGAAATGCAAGATCCGCGGCAAGGACACTTCCTACCAGAAGCCCATGAGACTGTAGTCGACCAACAAGGAGTTCATTGCGCCGCCAGAATTTGACCATATCCACTGCTGCTGGGTCGTGTTGCGAGGACTCGGGGAGCGGCGGATATGGATATCTGCCCGCTCACGCGGTCGGGCAAATATCCATATCCACTAATCCTCGAGATTCCAGGGCACGACTCCGAAGCGGTGGATGTGGACATATTCTGGCGGTGGATTCATTCACCACGCGAACCCGGCATGCGCGGGCACGGAGAACCGCGTGATCCTGCGGGGCAAGCTCGCCCAGCAGGCTCAAAACGACCCGAAACCGATGGCGAAGAGGATGGCCAACCTGATCGCCTCCCTCCTCCCTCCTCCCTCCTCCCTCCTCCCTCCTCCCTCCTCCTCCCTTCCTCCTACTCCCTTCCTCCTCCTCCTCCTCCTCCTCCTCCTCCTCCTCCAACCTGATCGCCTACCTGAGGACGGCCGACGACATCAGTGACATCAACGCGGAGGTCTACAAGGAGATCGGCGCCATCGAGCGCACCGACGTGATGCAGGAGCTGATGAAGCGGTTCAACGTATCGACGATCCGAGAAGTCGAGCGCGCACGCGTCAGCCTGGGCCACCCTTCGAATGCAGCGCATGCGGGTGTCCCGGCGGAGTGGATCCAGTGCGCCAGGTTCTTCCAGTGCGAGATCTGCCTAGGCAGGCACAGGCCCCGAGCAGTTCGTGTCGCAGTGCTGCCGAAGGCCACGAGGTTCAACGAGGTGGTCTGCACCGACGTGTACTACATCACGTGGGAGAAGAGGGAGAGGAATATCCGGGCCATCATGGACGAGTTTACACGCTACGCGGTCGACTACCCAATCTCGAAGAAGACGTTCTTGAAGGAGACGAAGCTATGGGAGAAGCTCTGGATCAGTTGGGCCGCAAGCCTGAGACGATGCGGATGGACTTGGGAGGCTCGCACACGGCCAAACGCATGCACGACTGGATGAGCAAGCGCAGCATCAAGCTCGACCTGATCCCGAAGGCGCGCACCACAGGTAAGGCCTGATGGGGCGAAACCGCGCGGCCAGGAAGGAACAGCTCAGCGATTGCCATCTGCAGCTCCCCGACGACTCGCTCAAGACCGCTCTCAGGATGACCGCCGGCCAGCGGAGCGCCCCGACGAACGCGTGCGGGTTCTCGCCCGCGGCGCTGGTGCCGGGGCGCAGCCCAAGATCCCGGGCGCCCGCTGCGAAGAGGACTTCGGCCTGTCGGAGCAGGCTGCGCCGGTTGACCCCGAGAGCGAGGTGCGCGAGATGATGATCAGGAGGGCGGTCGCCGCCACAGCCTTCATCGAGGCCAACTGCCCGCGCGCCGCGCGAGCGGCGCTGCTGGCGCGCAGCAGGCCGACGAGGAGGAACTGCGAGATCGGCGAGCAGGTCTACTTCTGGCGACCAGAGCAGACGCAGGGGCTGGAGAAATACCACTGGCACGCCCCAGCTCTGGCGGTAGCAGTTGAGGCGAAGGTCAACGAGGACAACGCGATGCACGCCTCAGTGGTGTGGGCGACGCACGGATGCACGATCCTTCGATGCACCGTGGAGCAGCTTCGCCCCGAGCTGCCAGGCGAGGCCCGCGAGCGTGAAGGACGCAGCGAGGACCTCGACAGCCCGCTCAGCACGATCGAGAAGCTCAAGCGCGTGCCCATGCGGACGAAGGGGACCTGCAACTACTGGGACCTCGCCGAGGAGGGGCGCTTGCCCCGCTACGACGACAGCCTGGACGACATGGGCGAGCAGCATCAGCCCAGCGCCCAGGCGCCCATGGAGACGGACGAGACCGACGGACCGACAGGAGCAGCTGCCGCGGCGGCTCCTGGATATCCTCAGCCGACGACGCCTCGCGAGGAGGAGGGCGACGGGCCAGCGGCGGCCAGTGCCGGCGCGTCTGGCAGCGCGGAGCAGGGGCCTAGCAGATTCCACGTCGCGGCGATGACTAAGAGGAGCGTCGAGGAGGCTGAGAAGCTGGAAGGCGCCCCGCTGGCCAAGCGCGCCCGCCTGTCGCGGGCGAAGCTTGCCCCGCAGAGCGAGGGGGCTGCGCTCGCCGATCGGGTGGGCGAAGAGATTGCGCTGCTTGAAGAGTCCACCGAGACGGTCTGCACGCTGGCCTCCGAGAGGGAAGCCCCCGCCATCGCGGAGGGGGGGCTTGCGCCCGAGGGGAAGGGCCAGTCCTACGCGGCGCAGCGGGGGGACCTCGAGGCTTTCCAGTCGCAACGACGGCTGGGCGCCCATCAACGAGGCGGATGTAGATCCCGCAGCCTTCTGCCCTCTACGCTTCCTACTCACGTTGAAGGTGGGGGATGGGCAGAGTGTGGCCAACGCGCGTGCGCTCTACCAGAGGCTCTAGCACCGCGACGTCGCCGAGGGCCAGCTCGACGAGGAGGCGCCGACCCTCAGCAGGCTTGGCCGACGCGCGGTCATGCTCTGGGCGTCTCCGAGGAAATGCAGGCTGTTCACCGCGGATGCGAAGTCCGTTTTCTCGCGGGCCGAGGGCGCGAGCGCGCGCGGCCTCGAGCCGCGCGCGAGCCCGACGAAGGAGATGAGCGAGATGCTCTCACACCAAATCGGCCTGCAACCTGGACAGTTGCCCAAGATGATCAAGCCGCGCTTCGGTGACCCGCGGTCGCCCCAGCTCTGGCGCAACCGCTCCGACGAAGTCGCGAGGGAGATCGGGCTCAGCAACATCGAGCTCGAGGATTGCCTGCTGTTGCCCCTGCGCCCGGCGAAGGTCGAGGACGACCCGTTCGACGCGCGCAGCCTCGAGGGCCAGACCTACGCGGTGGGCGGCCCAATCGGCGGGCGCGCGGGCAACTTCGTCGGTTGCGGCGAGGGCGCGACGCGCAAACAGAACCTCTACGCGAAGCTCGACGACACCGAGTGTCTCCAGGCGCGGCTAAGGGCGCTCGACGAGAAGTTCAAGCTCGGCAAGTGGGATTTCGGGCCGAGTCTGATCTTCGCTGGAGGCGAAGTGGAGCAGTCCCTAATCACCTACAGCGTGACCCTCAAGTTCGAGAAGTACATGCACGCGGTGAAACCCATCACCGTCGAGAAGCACCGGAGAGCTGATCCCACGAGTGCGTTGTCGCCGAAGGAGCTTGCGAACTTCAAGATCCTGAACTGCCAGTTGCAATGGCCGGCAGCCCAAGGAGGGATCATAGCAGCGGCTGCCGTGTCATTCAGAGCTTCGGCCACAGGACGAGTGACCGTGCAGGACTTGCTGGGCGCGAACAAGGATCTGCTCTTTCTGAAGGCCAACGCGGACGTAGGGCTGTGCTTCGGGTTCGACAAGGCCTGGGGCGACCAGAGAGTTGGCAGCTACACTGGCGCGAGCTGGGCGAGCCGACGTGGCGGGTGGCGGAAATTAAGAGGGAGGCTACGCGATCTTCATCGGACCCGCGGACGAGCTCAATGCCGGAACCCCAGCGCCTTCCGTGGTCACGGAGTGGGCCTCGAAGAAACTACAATGGTCGCGCAGGGGCTCGCTGTCAGCGGAGGCCCAGGCAGCAGCTTTGGGCGCGGACTCGTTGATGTGGGTGAAGGTCTACCTGGCGTGGAGCTTGCGACCCGACCTGGAGGTCGACGAAACGATGGTGTACCTCGGAAAGTCGCCGTTCATCACGGACGCGAAGTGCCTGCACGACGCGTCGCGTTCAGCGACGGCAGGCCTGGGCATCGCAGAGAAGAGGACGGCCATCGAAGTGGAGATCGTGAGCGAGCAGATGACGGAGATAGGCGCCACCTGGAAGTGGGTGAACACGAAGCAGCAGATGGCGGACGGGCTTACAAAGCTCTCGGCCCGCCAGACGATGGCAGACGTGCTACGCCGTGGAGTGCACGCGTTGCGGTAAGACCCCGACTTCATGGCTGGCAAGAAGCTCTCCAAGAGGGCGATGGAGCAACGCGAGAAGGAGCTGGACGACGCTGGCGAGGCACTGCAAGATGCCCTCGAGACGACGCCTGCGACAAAGGCGAAGGGAGACAGCGAAGGCCAATGGCAAGCGCAATTTTGCGCAAGTGGAGCGAAGCTGGCTACGGCACTGGCAGCTAGCGAAGGCGGCAGCGCGGCAGGACAGGCGATGCAGTATACGCCCAGCGACGTCGAGCTGTTCAACCCACCGACGCCAGCCGACTGGAACGACCTGGTCATGAAGATGATGGTTTTCGAGTTCGTGAGGGGAGATGTTGTGGCATTCGATTGCGGGTTTCGTGCTGGGGTGTGGTGGGCCCTCTTGACCAAGCAGCTCGAGCATGACACGAAGACCGAGAAGACGCGGGAACCCGAGACAAAACCAATGCCCGTCAAGGTCAAGACGACCGTGACTGGGACCGACCCGAAGCCGACGAACCGGAAGAAGGTACGCAGCATGCTCGTCCAGTCGCAGTGTCGCTACAATCTGGCTCTCAGCACGCCGAATTTCCAGCCGCTGCCCGAGTACGCTCATGGAGTTCTCGTGGCAGGACGAAGGGGTACCCAGAGGCCGCTTTGGCAGGAAACCTGTCTGGCAGGATGGTCGGCGAAGCCGACAGGTGGACGATGGCCAGCAAGGCCGACGAGAGCAAGTTGGTCGGCAGAGACCGACTCGTGACTGAGTGCTCCGAGGAGGACACCATTTCCATGTTTCTGCCCAAGGAGGTCGACCGATCGCCGGGTGCGTTGGCAAATTAAAAGGATATCAATGTCGCTGTCGCGACTGCGGGTGAGTTTCACATTTGAATCCGACTGGCTGGTGCAAGGGGCCCGCGGTGTTTGTGACGTCTTATCTGCTTTATTTTCGGCAGCGTTTTGTTTCCTGGTGAAATTCCGGGGGGCCCTGATCTTGGCAATGTGCGGTTTTGAATGAATATGTGTTAGCTCTTTTTTTCCGTCCGCGTCAGTATAACCCCTGTTCTATCGAGTTATGTTTCTGTGCTTTTGTGTGCTAACACAGCTTAGTCGTTTCAGCAAGCATGATGTGTTGCAAACCGTTGTTCCACACATGTCTGTACCATTGCCATTTGATGGTTTGGGGCCCCTGGGTCAGGCAGCTGCTCTCAGAGAACAACTGAAGAATGTCCGCCGTAACTAAAACTCAAGATCCCCGCCTGCAGGCACCGGACAAATCGCGCTCCCCCCGGCCAGAAACGACGGCACTCGCGAGACCCTATCGGCCGCGTGGCTGGGCCAACAAACGGCCCCAGAGGGGGGATCCAAAATCGACGGGCTGGCATCCCCCTGACCAGGCGCACGAGAGGGGAGGAGGCAAAGGGGAGGAGGAGGAGGAGGAGGTGGAGGAGGAGGAGGAGGAGGAGGAGCCTCCTCCCCTTTGCCTCCTCCGAGGAGGAGGAAAAAGAGGATGAGGAGGACGAGGGGGGCGAGGAGAAGCGGGCACCGGCCACCGCTTCTGAGCGCCGAGCCCCGCGGATGCAGGTGAAAATTGCCAGCTTCCCCACCGATGGGGCGGGAATGCGTCCAGGCTAAGACTTGCCAGCGCGGAGGAGGTCAAAACTAAACTGTGCTAGCCGATTGCGCGACGATGCAAAGCCGGAGGACGGAGAGGAGGAGGAGGAGGAGGAGGAGGAGGAGGAGGAGGAGGAGGAGGAGGAGGAGGAGGAGCAGGAGGAGGAGCAGGAGGAGGAAGAGAAAAGACAACACCGGCCGCGCCTGCGCGGGCGCGCAATAAGACACTTCGCGCCAGCACGCGGCCTCCGGGCCCAGGAGAAGAGGGGGGACAGGGAGCAGGGGGAGGCAGGAGGAGGGGAAGGAAAAAGGGCAGCAAGCAGGCCTGGGGCAACGGGGGGGCACGGCCGCGGGTGAGCCACCAGACCCCGCAGGTTAGGCGCGCGTGCGGGGGTGGGGGCGGACGGGGGGCGGAAGGGGGGGGCCCGCGCCTGCGGGGGCGGGCTGGCCGGCGGCCGGCGCTCTCAGTCGTCGCCCCCGCCAGGCCAGTAGGCCCTGACGTGGGCGGCCGCCCGCCGGCACAGCGCCGCGCCAGCCGCGCTGGCCAGGCGGCGGTACCGCCACGCCCCGTCCGAGCATCCCCTCCGCCGGGCAAGGCGGGTCGCGAGTGTGCGGAGGGTGGATGTCGTCCGGGGGTGGGGCCCGTGGGCTGACCAGACTGAGGGCTGGTACAGGATGTTCTGGCGGTCCAGAACGTCGCTGTAGGGGGCGTAGTACGCCGTCTTGCGCTCGTACATGCTGGAGACGCAGTCGGGGCCTCGAGTCGCCGAACGATGGCCTCAAGGCGAAAGGCCTTCAAGACGCCCCAGGAGGCCTCCCAAGAGGGCCCCAAGAGGCACTAATCATTGTTGCTCCGTTGGTTTTTGAAGGTTGTTGGCTTTCTCGCATTTCGGCATCCCGACGCACCAAGACGACGGCCCAAGAGGCCCCCCAAACCTGCCCAAGACGGCGCAAGAGGCCTCCAAGAGGGCCCCCAAACGGCCCAAGAGGGCCTCAAGACGGCCTAAGAGGCGCCCCGAACGGACCAAGAGGGCCCCAAGACGGCCCCAAGAGAGGGAACACAAACCGAAAATCCGAGCCTTCCGCCCCAAGCGGCCCCCAGGAGGCTCCCAAGAGGCCCCCAAGAAAAAGGCCCCAAGGGGCCCCCGAACGGCCCCCAAGAGGCCCCCAAACAGCCCCCAAGAAACTTCAAAACTGCCTCCAAGAGTCAAAGAGGCACTCCAGAGGCCTCCCATGAGATGCGACGAACATCCAATAGGCATCATACCCACAAAGCAGGCACGGTGGCGGGATGGGCCGAAGGCCACCAGGTCCGCCGCCCCCTGTCGATTCATCGCAGGGATGCCTGGCGTGCCGAACCCTATCGGTTTTGGCTTTGGTTCTTTTCCAAAAGAATCGAAGACGCCTACGGCGAATCACTGCCGCCCTCTGCCTTTTTGGAAGCGCCTATGTGGCCGAACGTTGAGGCCAGACCTGCCAAGCTATCGGATCATGTGCTCCCCGAGTCGGTTTGGAAAGCCTTCGGGAAACACATGGGCATCTTTAAGGTCATCTTGGCAGTCTGGAGGCCATTTTGACTCTTTCGGGCCTTCTTGGAGGACGTCTTGGAAGGCTCTTGGGCCGTCTTGGAGGCCATCTTCATCGTTTTGGAAGCCTCTTGGGCCGTCTTGGGGGCCTCTTGGGGCCTCTTGGGCGATCTTTGGGGGCACTTGGGCCGTCTCGGGCCGTCGCAGGCCGAAAAAAGCAAATGCCACAATCCTTCAAACAACTGTTTGGGGAAATCAATGATGTTGGCCTTTTCGGGCCTTCCCGGAGGCCCTCTTGGAGGCCTCTTGGGCCATCTTACGGCCATCTTCGGCCGTCTTGGTGGGCTCCTGGCCCGTCTGACGCCGTCGGGAGCCGTTTGGGGGGCCTCTGTGGGCCGACTTGGGGCCTTCTTGGAATGCTCCAGGGCCGTCTTGGAGGCCATCTTGGGCGTCTTCAAGGCCTCCTGGGCCGTCTTGGGGGCCTCTTGGGCCGTTCTGGGGCCATCTTGGAGGCCTCTTGGGCGATCTTTGGGGGCTCTTGGGCCGTCGAAAGGCCGAAAAGAAGCAAATGTCAAATCCTTCAAGAACGAAAGGGAAATCAATGTTTTTGGCCTTATCTGGCCTTCCCGGAGGCCTCTAGGAGGCCTCTTGGGCCGTCTTGGGCCAGCTTCGAGCCAACTTCGGCCATCTTGGTGGGTTCCTGGCACGTCTGACGCCGTCGGGAGCCGTCTTGGGGGCCTCTCTCTGGGCCGACTTGGGGCCCTCTTGGGGCCGTCTTGGGGGCCTCTTGGGCCGTCATGGGGCCATCTTGGAGGCCTCGTGGGCGATCTTGGGGCGACCTTGGGGGCCTCTTGGGCCGCCTTGGGCCGTCGGAAAGCCGAAATGGCGGAAATACCAAAATCCTTCAAAAACCATAGGAAATCAATGATTTTGGCCTCTTCGGGCCTTCCTGGAGGACCCCTTGGAGGCCTCTTAGGCCGTCTTGGAGAACTCTTGGAGCCTCTTGGGCTGTTTTGGGCCATCTTGAGGCCATCTTAGGCCGTCTTGGGTGCATCTTGGGCCGTCTTGGAGGCATTTTGTTTGCGACACCATCGCGAAGAGGTCAGAAAAAAAAACGCATCGCGTGTAATTTGCCTTGATCCGTAGTCCCGGACATCGCTGTTGCCGCCAGACCGTGGTCGCGCGGCCGCCGACCAAAAAAGAAGAGGTCAGAAAGAGAAACATCAGTCCGCCCCCAAAATATAATGTCATCTGACTCAGCCCCCCAGCATTTAGCTTGGGACAGAAGAGAGAAGCTGTGTGCACCTACGCAGCCGCTGTCTTTCTCGACAGTGGTAGCTGCGAGAGCGCTGGATTCATGGATCGCCTCCTGCGAGAGGTTGCGGGGCGTCAGAAGAGACAGAGAAAGAGAGAGAGAGAGAGAAAGAGAGAGAGAGAGAGGGACAGAGAGAAACTAGCAGGGCAATGGGCACGCAGAAGAGAGAGGAGGGTGACGACAGGAATGGCAAAAGAGTTTTGCCCTCCACCCGCGTGGCGAGCCGGCGAGGGCCGAGAGGCCAGACGGCCACGACTCAGGGTCGCGGCGCTCCGAGCTGCGCTGAAAGCTCGCCCGGGGAGGGCGTGGCACTGATCAGCGAGCGAAGAACGGCATAACAATAAACGTTTTCGCTGCCGGGGGCGCCTGTCCCTGGGCGGCTGGAAAGTTTGTACCCTCACGGTGGCACCGTGGGGGTACAAACTTTCCAGCCGCCCAGGGGCAGGCGCCCCCGGCGGCGAAAACGTTTATTGTTATGCCGTTCTTCGCTCGCTGCACTGAAGGCTGCGCGCCCGGAGGCGGATGCTCTTAAGGGCACGCCGCCCGTGCCCTGCAGGCAGAACCCCACTGAAGGGGCCCTGGGACACACAAGGAAAGACACACAGGCAAGATGGCTCCCCACACTCTCCCACAGCTTCCTGGTCTTTGTCTTTTCGCCCCCCACTTCCCAGATCTTCCCATCTTCTCCTGGGGATCGACGATTCATTGGGTCTGTGTGCTTTCTCCCCTCCTGATTCTCGCTCCTCCTGGGGGGTGGGCCAGGACTGGGGGGTGGAGGGCGGCGCGGGAGGAGGGGGGCGAGGGGGGCGAGGAGGGAGGGGCGGCAGCAGCGGGTCCGGGAGGAGGAGGAGGAGGAGGAGGAGGAGGAGGAGGAGTAAAGGAGGTCTACGACTGCCTCGCTCGTGACTCTCGCCGGTGAGAGGATGGAAGGCCTCGAGGGTCGCAGAGCACCCGTGGCACCGGGTGCCCGAGCGCCACTCGAGGCCGACGTCGCCGACCGCGGAGCGGTTCTCGAGGAGGGCGAGGACGAGGAGGAGGAGGAGGGCGAGGAGGAGGAGGAGGGCGAGGAGGAGGGGAGGAGGAGGAGGAGAGGAGGAGGAGTGGTTCTCGAGGAGGGCGAGGGGGAGGGCGAGGAGGAGTAGTTCTCGAGGAGGGGGGGGCGAGGAGGAGGAGGAGGAGGAGGAGGAGGAGGGCGAGGAGGAGGAGGAGTGGTTCTCGAGGAGGGCGAGGAGGAGGACGTAGCACGTCTGGTCCGACCACCGATTCAGGTGGACACGCCCGTCCTCGTTCAGCGCCGTCGACAGCCTTCGAACTGGCCCCAGCCTGAAGAAGTCCAGACCCCCCATGCCCACGTGGCCCACACAGTTCACCCGCGCTCCCCGAGCATTCCACATCACAGGATCACGGGGTGTCAGATCCTGCGCTTGCTGAAACTCTTTGAACCATTCCCAGAGTCCTTCTGTGCACATCTGATTCTTGACTTGTCTACGCGTCTGCCACATCAACTTCCGACCAGTCTTCGCCATCATACAGAATGGATCTGCTTGAATCGACGTTCCATCGGAACCAGCTTTGAAGTAAAAGTCGGCATCGATGCGCAGATAATACTTGTACTTATCCAAGGCCGAATGCTGGTACATCGTCTTGGTAAAAAAACTGGTTCATGTGCTTGTAGCTTGTATTCACGGCTTTCGCGCAATCGTTCATCTTCCCCTCCCAAGCGTCATCGTCAGCGATAACCTTTGGGAAGGTGAGATCGAAATCTTCAACCTCAAATTTGTAGGTATCGTTGTCCAAAACTTCCTGTGCAACACTCATCACTCGTTCGCGGGAGGAGGATTTTGCGAAACTAGAAGGATCATACTCGCGCAACGCTTGACTGGGGATGAACACTTTCACGTCCTATGCCCAATGCTTCAATATGAAGTAGGCAAGTCTTGACAAGCCGCCTCCCAAGGTATTCAGATCTGACTGCCGGGTCACTAGGTAAACGATGACCCCATTTTCGAGTGGCACTGCTCCGTGGGAGAAATATCCTTGATGGCAGTGGTCCCACGCTTCCGTAGCGCGGGACTTCTCTTCAGGGTCGGGCCGCTTCTTCTCGGGGCCATCGGATTCGAACCCCGCTGAGAACCTGCTGTCGTCGTCTCCAGCGTGCTCGAAATACCACGTGTCGAAGTCGTCCTCCTCGTCCGTATCCCTGCCAGCGGCAGCGAAATCACCAATGTTGAAATCGTCTGTTCGCTTCGCATCCCGCCTGCTCACTGGCGACAGCGGCCGGGCAAGCCGAGCGTCGAGCCCGACCACCGATCGAATCAGCATCAGGGCGGCCGCAACCGCCAACATTTGCAGCCCCGCCATCTGGAAAGCCCGGTGGGTTCAGGTTCGGTGCGAAAGTTTTGTGCTGGAGCCAAGATGACTTGAGCCAAAATGGCTACGGAGGTCGTCTTGGAGGCATCTTGGGGCCATCTTAGCCGTCTTGGAGGCCACCTTAGCCGTCTTGGAGGCGTCTTGGAGGCCATCTTAGGCCATCTTGGAGCCGTCTGGAACGGAAAAACCCTATGCAACCACCTCTGGAAGATCTTTCGGCATCCTCCCGGGACCCCGGCGGGACGCGCCGGAGCCCACTGGGAGAGTTCTTTTGGAAAAGAGCCAAAACCAAAATCGCAAGAAGTTCAGCATGCCAGGCACCCCTGTGATGAATCAACAGGGGGCGGTGGACTCCCCCTGGTGCTTCGGCCCGTCCCGCCGGCCACCTGAAAGGATGCCGAAAGATCTTCCAGAAGTGGTTGCAAAGGGTTTTTCCGTCCCAGATGGACTCAAGATGGCCTCCAAGACGGCTAAGATTGCCCCAAGATGCCTCCAAGACGGCCCAAGATGCACCTAAGACGGCCTAAGATGGCCTCAAGATGACCCAAAACGGCCCAAGAGGCTCCCAAGATGCCTCCAAGACGGCCCAAGAGGCCTCCAAGAGGTCCTCCAGGAAGGCCCGAAGAGGCGAAAATCATTGATTTTCCTATGGTTTTTGAAGGATTTTGGTATTTGCGCCTTTTCGACTTTCCGACGGCCCAAGACGGCCCAAGAGGCCCCCAAGGTCGCCCAAAGATCGCCGAAGAGGCCTCCAAGATGGCCCCATGACGGTCCAAGAGGCCCCCAAGACGGCCCCAAGAGGGCCCCAAGACGGGCCAAGAGGCCTCCAAGACGCCCAGGATGGCCTCTAAGACGGCCCCGAAACGCCCCAAGAGGGCCCCAAGTCGGCCCAGAGAGGCTTCCAAGACGGCTCCCGACGGCGTCAGACGTGCCAGGAACCCACCAAGATGGCCGAAGTTGGCTCGAAGCTGGCCCAAGACGGCCCAAGAGGCCTCCAAGAGGCCTCCAGGAAGGCCAGAAAAGGCCAAAAACACGTATACCCCTTTCGTATTTGAAGGATTTTGCCATTTGCTTCTTTTCGGCCTTCCGACGGCCCGAGACGGCCCAAGAGCCCCCAAAGATCGCCCAAAGATGGCCCCAGAACTGCCCAAGAGGCGCCCAAGACGGCCCAGGAGGCCTTTAAGACGCCCAAGATGGGGCCCCAAGTCGGCCCAGAGAGACCTCCCAAACGGCTTCCGCGGCGTCAGACGGGCCAGGAGCCCACCAAGACGGCCGAAGATGGCCTCAAGATGGCCCAAGAGGCCTCCTCCAAGTCCGCCCAAGAAGCCACCAAGATGGCCCAAGGCTGCCCAAAAGGTGCCCAAGAGGCCTCCAAGACGGCCCAAGAAGCCTCCGAGAGGTCCTCCAGAAGGCCCCGAAGATGCCAAACTCATGCATTTTCATTAGGTGCTTGAAGGATTTCAGTATTTGCTCCTTTTCTGCATTCGACGGCCTAGGACTGCCCAAGAGGCCACCAAGATCGCCCCCAGAGCGCCCAAGAGGCCTCCAAGCTGGCCTCAGGACTGCCCAAGAGGCCCCAAGACGGCCACAAAAGGTCCCAAAGAACGCTCAAGAAGCCTCTAAGGCGCCCAAGGAAGACGTCAAGACGGCCGTGGAGCACCCCAAGAGGGCCCCGAATCGGCCCAGAGAGGCCCCCAAGACGGCTTCCGACGGCGTCAAACGGGCCAGGAGCCCACCAAGATGACCCAAGACGGCCCAAGAGGCCTCCAAGAGGGCCCCCAGGAAGGCCCGAAGAGGTCAAACTCATGGATTTCCTCAGGTTTTTCGAAAGATGTTGGCACTTGCCTCTTTTCGGCCTACCGACGGCCCGAGACGGCCCAAGAGCCCCCAAAGATCGCCCCAAGATCGTCCAAGAGGCCTCCAAGATGGCCCCAGAACGGCCCCCCGAGACGGCCCCAAGAGGGCCCAAAGGCGGCCGAAGAGGCCTCTCAACACGCTCGACCGACGGCCCGAGGCGGCCCAAGAGCCCCCAAAGATCGCCCAAAGATCGCCCAAGAGGCATCCAGGATGGCCCCAGAACGGCCCAAGAGGCCCCCAAGATGGCCCCAAGAGGGCCTCAAAACGGCCCAAGAGGCCTCCAAGACGCCCAACATGACTTCCAAGACGGCCCTGGAACACCCCAAGAGGGCCCCGAGTCGGCCAGAGAGGCCTCCAAGACCTCGGACGCGTCAGGCGGGCCAGGCTTGGAAGACGGCCAAAGAGGCCACCGAGAAGCCCCCAAAGGACCACAAGAGGCCCGAGGAGGCCCCCAAGATGCCTCCAAGAGGCTCCCAGGAAGCACCCAGGAGGCCACCCGAAGGCTCCCAAGATGCCCCCTGCTCCTACTCCTCCTCCACCTCCTCCTACGCCTCCTTCTGATCTTCCCCGCCATCCTCCCCCAAGTGTTCCCCGAAGGGTTTCCACAACGGTTGGGGGAACACGTGGTCCGATAGCTTGGCAGAGCTCTTGCCACAACGCTCGGCCACATGGGCGATTCTAGAAGGCAGAGGGCGGCGGTGATTCGCCATAGGCGTCTTCGATAAGTAGATCAGAGGAAACCTACGCGGTTCAAATAAGACGTGCAAGAATCCACAGGAACCCATACATAGGAGAGAACACATGTCACGGGCGTTTGCTAGGAAAACATGCTTCCCCCTCTGTAGACCCAAGGGGAAGGCCCTCACCCCCCGGGTTTCGAACCCGTGGGGGGGGGCCCCATCATCGCTCGGAACCTGGGGGGGCGGGGAAAGTTCCCCCCCGGTTTCGACCAGGGGGCGGGGGGGATTTAAAAACATGTCGGACTGCAAATCCCAACCAGTTTGAACGAATCCCAACCAACTTGTACTTCTTCAAACTAGCATGAAAAACCAAACTGGTACTAATCCCAAGCGGCCAAATCATCTCACTGCACGATTGGAATCGAGGCGATGTTAATCCATCCCCAAGAGGAATAATATGCTTACGGGTGCACGTGTATTCCATCAACTGACATTACTGCCTGGTTTGGAATGTGTGCCAACACGGCTTGCGATGATGTGGAACTCAAGATGGAGATGTAGATGGCGAAATGAATAACAACTGCAAGTTCTAGAGCCCCCCAAATGCATTCCCCGGAAAACCTGGAACAAAAAGGTTGTCCAGGTGTTTGGCGTTCAGGGTGTAAGGGCTGCAGGGCCTAACGGCTCAAGAGTTTAATGGGTTTGAGTGTTCAAGGGTTTCAGGCGGCCTTTCCTCATCTTTCCACTCTTCTTGCACGCGGGGCAATTCGCAATACCATGACCCAGGTTGCTTGGACGCGCGTGCGAACTGCCTCTGCCGCGCTGCGACGCAAAAGATTTGAGGGTGTCGGGGCTTCAGGGTTTAAGGACTAAAACGATGGGGGTAAGGGTTGTCCGAATATCTTAATTTAAGTGCTTCAAGGCTTACGGTTATAAGGGCTTCAGGGCTGTAAGATTTCAGGGCTTAAGGGTTTAATCATTTCACGATTGAAAGGGCCTGAAGAATTTGAAGGGTTAACGGTCCTTCTGCTGCACCAGGAAGCCTGTGTACACCACAGCACCCGCGTGCACCGCAGTAGCCGTGTAAATTCTGACGGAATCTTCAAGATTCCTCAGGATCCTGTAGGACGCCTGCGCAACAACTCGCAGAGGCGTCTGCAATGCACCTATCAGAGGCGCCTGTGCCACGCCTCTCTCACAGGCGCCTGTAAGACGCCTGTAAGACGCCTCCCAGAAGCGACTGCAAGACACCTGTCAGAGGCGCCTGTGAGGCGCCTCTCGTAGGCGCCTCCAAGAAACGCCTCTCGGAGGCGCCCATGAGACGGCTCTGAGAGACGCCGCTAAGATGCGCCTGTAAGACGCCTCTCAGAGGCGCCTGTAAGACGCCTCTCGGACACGCCTCCCAGGGACGCCTTTCAGACACGCCTCTCAAAGACACCTCTCAGAGGCGCCAAGACGCCTTTCGGATGCCTGTAGGGGGCCCCTCAGAGCCGCCTGTAAGACGCCTCTCGGAGACGCCTCTCGGAGACGGCTCCCAGAGGCGCTTGTACGGCGCCTCTCGGAGACGCCTCTCAGAGACGCCTGGAAGACGCCTCTCAGAAACGACTGCAAGATGCATCTCAGCGACGCCTCTGAGAGACGCCCGTAAGACGCCTGTGAGGCTTCTCGTGTAGGTTGGTTGGAACTCTTACCAAAGCGGCAGGAGTTGGCACTAGTATTCAAAGTATTCAAAGTGGTTGGGCGCTAGTATTTAAAGTGGTTGGGGTTTGTTCTAATTGGTTGTGGTGTGTCCCATTTCTGGTACCCCCCCGCCGGGTTCGAACCAGGGGGGGAGCCCCCCCGCTTCGGAACCGGGGAGGGGGGAAAGTAAACTCCCCCCCAGGTTCGACCTGGGGAGGACCGGGGGGCGGGGGGAAGGCGACGACGACGCCGACGTCGACGCCGCCGCCGACGCCGATGCCGACGCCACCGACGCCGACGCCGACGCCGACAACGACACCGAGCACGACGACGACGACGACGACGACGACGACGACGACGACGACGACGACGGCGTCGACTACGACGACTACGCCGGCAACGACAACGACAACGGCGCCGACGTCGATACCGCTGACAACGACGCCGAGCACGACGCAGACGAGGAGGAAGATGTCCATAGAGGAGGAGGAAGTGGAGGAGAATCGGAGGAGGAGCGCACAATTCCGCCATGGTTCGTCAGCAGGCGCGGCCCCGCTACCGCTGACGGACTTGCCCTTGGAGGAGTCGCCAAGCGGCTGAAGAAGCCGAAATAGCCCTCGCTCGTGACCGAACGATCCCTCGGATAGCGCTTACAGTTAGAAGGGCCAGAGGACGAACGTGGTTAAAAGTGGACAAAGAGCGATCTAGCGCAAGACAAACACAACAAATCTCATCCCTGGAAAGGTACAGGGGGCACCAAGAACAAAAGAGCCGGGGTCTCCCGAGGCCCATGACCTAGGAAGAAGGGGTAGGATGGCTTTCACTTCAGGTCGAAAAGCTTCACAACTTAAATCGTGTAGCATATTATCCCCAACAAGACACTTACATCCCAATTTGCACACACCCGTCCCCGTCCGATACCGAGCCGACCCTAATCCAGCCGTTGAGTAGGGTCTGAATCGTGGAGGCGAGGACGTGCGGAGGCAACCTGGAGGCTATCATGTTCAATCTGAGGAAGGTGCGGAGAGTGGCGGAGTCGGGGTAATCACTTCTCCATTTCCTGACCCGTGGTCCCAGATGCTCTAAGCTGCTGGCCCGTTGATTAAACAGCATCTCTTGATATGCTTTTGCCTGCGTACAAGCTGCTAGCGGTTCTCTGGGAACAATGGCCAGAACACGACTCGAGTCCAGGACACTCTGGAGATATTCAAAGATCGATGATCCGAAAAGCGGAAGAAACCGATGGGCAATAACATAATCGTCACCTTCAAGAATCGACTCGTACTCCTGCAAGGAGGAGGCGGAGATGGAAGAGGCAGAGCGTCCTCGATCTGCGCCTTCACCTTGGCCCTGTTCACGGTCAGGCTCCGCCGCACTGCCAGTGCAACCTCTGCCAGGGCAAGGCGGGGGGGAGGGAGGGGAAGGGGACGAGACAGGAGAAGAGGTGAGGAAACGTTTCCACGGTTTTTGGCCGCTAGTTGTTCCCTGGCCTCCCGCCTCGGGACGTCTTGCAGCAGCTGCGCCTCGTCGCGAACGTTCCGGGCCTGCCCGAGTGTTCCCGCACGACCGCCAGACACACCGAGCTCTGGCCCGAAGGCTGCCGGGCGCGGGAGCGGCGGGCGCGAGGCGGGGAGAGGGCCCCCGTGTAGCCCAGTGTGGCCCTCGACCGACGCCGCGCCAGCGGCCTTCGCCGCGTCGGCCTCTCCTCGCCCAATCCTCCTCCTCCTCCTCCTCCTCCTCCTCCTCCTCCTCCTCCTCCTCCTCGTCTTCCTCCTCCTCCTCCTCCTCCAAGATCGCACGATAGAGTTCAATACGGCTTGACACATCGCTTCCAGCATGCCTCCAAGCGGCGCTCTGACCGTCCAGGAACGTCCCGGGGACGTCCCACCAGGAGGCCCGCCTCCCTCCAACGCCATCAAGACACGTATGCTTGTTGCACTCTCGCCTTGTCGTTTCCCATGCACCCTTGATGCCTCAAGGCGATTCCAAGGTCCAAGGTGGCACAAGAGAACTAAGATGCAAGTTCCCTTGCCTCCGAGGGGGAGGGGGGCGTAATCGAGAACCCTCCTTCTTTGATCGATGGCCCCCAAGATGGCCCAAGAGGCCCCCTGAGGTCCCCAAGAGAACCCAAGAGGGCCCCAAGATAGCCCCATCGGCCTCCAAAGTGGCTCCAGGGCCCCAATCGGGCCCCGCGATACCTCCAAGAGGCGCCCAGAGCGTGACTACGTATCCCTGATCAGGGTAACTCGCCTGGTGATTGTTTTGGGATGGACTGGTGAATTTTCTTGGTCGCGGCCACGAGACAAGGGTCAGGCGGCGAAAGCAAAGTCCGGGGCGCGAGCGAGGCTAATTAGCTACAACAGGCACAGGACAAAATGTCATGGAATTCGGTGCCTGCATGGCACGACCCACACAGCATGAGACGTGAACCCGGAAAACCAAGTCCGACGTTCTGAATGGGGGAAAGTGGGAGGCCAGTGGAGTGAGTCGCCGGTGGGGCGCCAGGCTCCAAACGCCATGGACGACGTGAGCTAGCCAGGGGGGCAGAGCTGTCGCGAACCGTGATGCAACGCAACTGGGGAAGGCTGATGGTTGGCCTGGGGTGCTGTAGCTGCTGCGGAAGGCTGAGCCACTCCGTGGCGATGCCACCACCCGTCAGACCACCCCACAGTGCAGGGGGGGAACCAAGCGACTGTGAGCCACGCAGTGCGTGCCGGCACGGCATCAGGCCTCTGAGTGAGGGGGGGAAGACCAGCTGGCGTGGTGAGCATCGCCAGCGGGGAAGAGCAAGGGGAGCCGCGCTGGTGGTAGTGCTGCCTTCTGAAGGACGCCAGACTGAACCAGGGACAAGCATATCCCCAAGTGAACAGACCTGGCTGTACCTCCCGGGGCACGTGGCGCCTGTGCGAGCAAGGCGTACCGATGCCATTGGGCGATGCGCCTGGGGGAGGCTGCGCTGTGGCAGACGCGAGAGCCAACGGACGCCATGTCCTGACCCTGCCCGCCCCTTGGCATTTCCACCCAAGACTCAGGCAACGCCAACACACACCACGTGAGCCTCCAGGGTCGCAGCTAACCGCCGCTGAAAGTGATGAGCCATACCACGGACAGCGAGGGACACGGGCGGCCCTGGGAGGGGGGGGGCAACAACACCGGCGTCTGTCGGTACGCCCGGCGGGCCCCGGGGCCAAGGGCGGGGGACACCCGCCTGGCCCGAGAGGGGAGAGGCGAGGGGAAGCAACGCCCCTCCCCTCGGCCTGGCCCCGAACCCGTGGGTCAGGGGACATGGGATGGACTGGGTGAATTTTTTCGGTCGCGGCCGCGAGACGACGGTCAGGGGGCGAGAGCAAAGTCTGGGACGCGAACTAGGCGAATTAGCTAGGATAGGCGCAGGCCGGCCGGCCCACTCAGACTGCAGCTGCGGGCTGGGTGAAGCTGAACTGACCGGCGCACTGCAAGCTCGGGCACGTGCACTGGACAAAATGTCCAGAATTCAAGCGGCCAAGGCACAAGGACTGAGTGAACGCGAAGCGTCAAGAATTCGTCTCCGTGCAGCCTGCTACTCTCTGCACGAGCAGCTCTGGCCAAGCTGTAAGTTTCGCTCGTGGTCAGCTTGCCGCGGGAATTCCCGAATGAGGAAGATGGTAGGAGAAAGAGGATGACAGGGAGGAGGAATATTCACTCCTCTTAACTTAAGTTGCCCTCCACGTTTCACACCGACTGTTTCCCCCTCGTGGCCTCGCGACTCGCATGCGCATGCACATGCGCGTGTGCTTCCTTTTCCAAACCGTGGCTGCCTAGTACAGGATATGAGGCTAGAAGCAGAGCAGAGCCACCTATACTAGCAATGGCAGGATCGAAACAGATGTAGAGACTGAGGCACGCCGTGCCACAAAAGCATACGTATATATTCTAGGATCAACCGATGCAGACAGACACGCGCACGTTTACACCCCTGTCACCCTAGGTACAATCACAACGCAATCGAATTTCGTCTAGTAGCAACGCTGGGTGGCAACGCCTAGTAAGAGACTAGCACATCCATCATATTCGCGACGTGGCAACGCCGCGGGGCGAGCTCAAGTACAACGCCACTCCATTCGCAACGTGGTAACGGCAGACCAGCAAACAACATATGTTACAACTTTACGCGTCACGTGACGAAGTCGCACAACGAAACAACAACTACTCTATCGCTTTCGACGTGGCAGCGCCGCGGAAGCGAAAAGCAACATCTACTCGGCACGTGGCTCCATCGCGGACGACGACGACGGACGAAACGGACGACCACGACGACGAAACGGAAAACGACTGCGACGACGAAATGGACGACGACGAAATGGACGACGACGACGACTGAAGATAATGACGACGACGGAAGACGATGACAACGACAACGGCGATGACGACGACATCGATGATATCGACGACGACGACGACGACGACGACGACGACGACGACAATGACGACGACGATGTCGACGACAATGACGACCACCCGACCGCCCGCCCGCGCGGGCCCGCTCGCGCGCCCGCCCGCCCGCCGAAGCGCGTCCGCCCACGCGCCCGCCCGCGCGCACCCGCCCGCCTTCTCGCCCGCCCGCCCGCCCGCCAACGCGCGCGCCCACTTGCCTGCCCGCCCGCCCCGCCGAGGCGTTCCGCCCGCCCGCCCGCCCACGCGCCCGCTCCCCCGCCGCCACCCGCCTACCTCACTCGCTCCGCCGAGACGGCCACCAAACCGCGCCCGCGCGATCGGGCGCGCAACAGGAGAACTCCTTCTCATCCCCCCTCCCTCCTCCACTGAGCCGACGACTGCCCTCCACTGTGCCGGCGATGTCCTAACCCCGGGGAGTCCCGAGAACTCGCATCCCCCCTCCCTCCCCACTCGTCCCTCCTCTTCCCTCCTCCTCCCTCCTCCCTTGTCCCTCTACTCGGCACGGGCGGGGCGAAAGTCAAAACTATTGCACTTTACTCGCCACGTGGCAAGCGCCTGGGGAGCGAAACGTATACTGCTCCACTCTCCTCGCGACGTGACAACGCCTGCAGGGCGGAACACAATACGATTTCACTCGAAGTGTCACGTGGCAGCGACTGGGGACCGAAACAAAACCCGCCAACCCCTTGAGGATCATCGGCGTGTGATGTGTTTCCCCTCCCCAAACCTCTCCCCCCCGAGCCTGTTCCGGTCGATTTGGAGGGGGGGGTGGCCGTCCGGCTGGAGCTCACCCGGGGCATTTGGAACATTTTTACGGTGCCGGAATGAACTCCCCGACTCCCCGACTGGCCGACTGGCCGACTGGCCGACTGGCCGACTGGCCGAATGGCCGACCGGCCGACTGGCCGACTCCCCGACTGGCCGACTGGCCGACTGGCCGATTGGCCGACTCCCCGACTGGCCGACTGGCCGACTGGCCGATTGGCCGATTGGCCGACTCCCCGACTGGCCGACTGGCCGACTGGCCGATTGGCCGACTGTCCGACTGCCTGACTGGCCGACTGGCCGACTGGCCGACTGGCCGACTGGCCGACTGGCCGACTGGCCGACTGGCCGACTGGCCGACTGGCCGTCTGGCCGACTGGCCGACTGGCCGACTGGCCGACTGGCCGACTGGCCGACGGGCCGATTGGCCGACTCCCCGACTCCCCGAGTGGCCGACTCCCCGACTCCCCGATTGGCCGACTGGCCGACTGGCCGCCTCCCCGACTGGCCGAATCTCCGACTGGCCGACTGGCCGACTCCCCGACTGGCCGACTGGCCGACTCCCCCACTCCCCGACTGGCCGACTGGCCGACTGGCCGACTCCCCGACTGGCCGACTCCCCGACTGGCCGACTGGCCGACTCGCCGACTGCTCGACTGGCCGACTTCCCGACTGGCCGACTCCCCGACGTACTGGCCGACTCCCCGACTCCCCGACTGGCTCCCCGACTGGCCGACTGGCCGACTCACCGACTCTTCGACTCCCCGGTTGGCCAATTCCCCGACTCCAGCAGAGATGTCATCCGAATTCCGCCCAGGAACTTCCAAGGGCTCCAGGACAGCTCCCAGACGCTACGGTCTCCGAGCTGAAGCCAAATATCGCAATGGACAGGGGGCTCCTGGGAGGCCCTGCTGGGGTTTTCAATGTCTCCTTGGGCAATTTCTCGGGAGCCCTCTCTCTCTCTCTCTCTCTCTCTCTATATATATATATATATCCTGTTTTTCGCAGCCTCCAGGGAGACCCGACAAGGGTATCCGAATCTCTTCCAGCCGCACTCGGGGGCTTCAGGAGAGCCCCACGAGGCCGCGATCTCCGAACTGAGGCTGGAGATGGCGGGTCCTGGTGCTCTGAAAGATTTTTCCCAGGCTTCTGGTCGTTTTTTCTTGGTTTTGTTTAATATCTAGAGGCC